ACAACCTATGCAATATACATTCACATCACCCATCTGAGACCCAATATAAAATAATGACTAAACCGGGTCCATTTATCCATAGTTTTGACGCCCTTAAAACCGGGGTTCCTATGTCAATGTATGAAGTGTGACATTGAATTGTAAAAGTGTGACATTGGTGTGTAAAAGTGTAACATGGTCTGGGAAAGTGTAACGTGGCCTGTAAAAGGGTAACACTGCCATATACCACTGTGACACCTATGCATCAAACATAGTTAATATAAGTTCAAATTCCAATCATTTTACATACATTACATGCCAAAATTTAATTACAAGTCTAATTTTACAAAAAAATGGATTGAAAGCCACAAGTCGGCTTTTCTTCCTCCTTAAGTGCCATAGTGAGTGTTTCCTATCGGCGTATAACCCACACCTGAAATGTGTTTCCGTATAGGGTGAGTAACGCTCAATAGAGTATCTCCTACAGAGGCTACTCCCCACCCTAGATGCATATGCAATGTTCGCATACAACATTCACCATTCACACAATCATTCCAAACAAGAATATACATGTTCATATTGGAATCTACCATGTCATGCCATGAATGAAATGAGATTCACTCACGGACATCAACCTGAGCCCTCACCGGCTCATTCCACACTATGCAATGCAAGTGTAAAAATTATTGTCATTGATGAAATACATCCAATGATCATCTTTGAAGATAAAAATCAAGTGTTTATAAAACCAATTCATTTCTAGATATTTCCCATTAAATGAATCGTTTATATAACCAAAAACCATGTGTCTTTATTTGGGTAGTGGACTTTTGGTGTTGCACTACCGGCTCCACACAACAATACACTTTTTTGGACTTGCACCATAGGAAGTGTATAAACCAGTGGCCGGGTCTTGCACCCGAGGAGGGATCTATACTTTTTTGCTATACCCAACACAAGTTTTCCATGTATGCAACCATACGACTCAGTAGGATTTTCAACCCCACTTTCCCGAGTCCACCCATCAAAACACCAAGTATGGTGATTGATCCAACCATGCACCAACACCCATGAAATGCGATGTGTTCTCCATGCATATGCAAAATAATGAACCATTGCACTACCAACATCCTACCCAAGGTAATGAATGTCCATTAAGCAATTTAAATCACATGTCTACATGTTCCATGACAAGTCATATTATAAGCATATAAATTCCATAAATCATTACAATGTCAATATTTCAATGAGCACATATTAACATTTCTTTCCAACAAATTTCATCATGTATTATGGACAATTATACCATATGCATATAACCTCCAAAAATTTATCACAATGTCAATATATTAATACACATATATCAACATTTTATCTAACAATAACCAAGCATGTCATTACATAATCAAGAAATAACACCCTTAATCCTCAAGGCATAATGTAAACATATAATATGCCCACAAAACAGCCCACATAATAGCCCCTAAACAATCCACATAATGTCCCCGAAACAAGCCATAAAACAGTCCTTAAACAAGCCAAAAAATAGCCCCTAAACAAGCCATATAACAGCCCACAATTTCAACTCAAAACAGTCCCTAAAATAGTCCACAATTTGAACCCAAAACAGCCACAATTTCAGCTCCTTAACAAAACCTAAACAGCCCCATAGCAGTGCGCAAAACAGTCCAATATACAGTCCATAAAATCAATCCAAAATAGTCCATAAAATTAGTCCAAAACAATCCATAACAACCCCTTTTTTTATATATACGAAAGGGTAGGAATTAAACCAAAGTAGGAAAAACCCTACCTTTTGGAGCGTAGTAGAAATGGTAGGAAGTCTCAAGAACACCTCCTAAGCCCAAAACTTTGATTTCTCCAAAATCCTCTCTTTGGATCTTCAGTGAAATCAGTTCTTTTTTTGTATGCCGAAGCCGATGCACATGATTGTCGTCTATATCTGCAAAATTTTAAATTAACATTAATTTAAAATTTATAAAATTAAAATTAATTCATAAAATGTTAATTAATTTTATGAAATTATATGTCAATTTAATGTAATTAAATATAGGATCGGAACCAATTCAGGAAAAAAAAATTTCGTTTAATCGTGATTGATCCTATTTAATTGAAGCCACCGAAAATTTAGTTTGGTCCAAATTTTTGAACCATCAAATGTATTAAGATTGATCTCATATAATCATGATCAATCCTAATTGATTGGATTGCAAAAAAAAAAAAAATTGGCGTTGAGATCGATCTTAATTAACCATGATCGATTCTAATTGAGTGGAATCTCAAAATCAAAAATTGGCATTGACTTCAATCTTAATTAATCATGATCGATTATGACTAGTAAATGTAATATTATTACTTGCAATGACAAAGTTATTAGTCTTAAGATAAATTTATCACCTTTAAAGATGAGGTACAAACTCTTTACATAAAATTACAACAATTAAAAGTAAAATTATAATCTTTGAAAGTGGAGTTATAACTATTTATGGTAAAATTACTATCTTTAGATATGAAGTTACAACTATTTAAAATTATGTTACAATTAATAAAAGTAAAAATATCACAAAAAAAGGCGGTTAAGGTTACGACCTTTAAAAAAAAATGGTGCAATTTTTAACTGTAAAGTTATCACACTTTTAATGAATAATTTTTTAATATTTAATGACAAAAATTAAAGACCACATATTTTTTTGGCACCGTTTCGAATTTTGACCGATCGGTACCGTAGACCTCCCCGTGATTCATTAGTTATTGGTGAGAATTGTACCGTGATTCAAAAATAAATTTTGGTGAGCACCGTAGGACATCTCTGTCCTTGCATCGAAAATGATAATTGTAAGTCATGACCTTGGACTTGTACGACTATCTTACCAATTAGGTTTCTCCCAAATGCTACGCAGGTGTTTAGGTAATGATAATATCTTGGGATAATTTAGAAGTTGATATAAAAATTTAGATTTATTTGAGCAAAATTATATCAAGAAAATTTATTTGGCGCTAAGTATATTTTTTTAAAAAAATACCAAAAAGACCATTTATTACTCCATTAGTCTCTCTCTTTTTCTCTCCATTACTTTCTCTCTTTCACTCTCTCTACCTTATTTTATTCTCTATCTATTTCTCTCTTTTTTTCTCACATTGATAATTTATTTTTTTTAAATATATAAAGATTTGATTTAATTTTTTCATCTCTCTTCCCTATTTTTTTCTCTCTCTCACTCCGTCTCCCCTTATTTCCTTATACTCTCTATCTCTCTTTATATTAGCATTACAACAACACAACTATAGTAATCAGTTATATTAATTAGTTACAATTATCATATAATACACCGACCAGTTACTCGTGTATTCTAATAAACCAAAGAGTTATACTAAACAATTACACGAAATTACAACACTAATTCAATTTATCATTCAGTTATTTACATAAATCAAATAGTCATTATTTAGTATCACAACATGGTTACACTAATTATATACATTAAATTGGGCTTATCATTACACAAAATACTTTATCGTTATAATAAATTTGATATATATAATTAGTGTAACCATGTCGCGATATAAAATAGTACAACTATTTAATTTATGTAAACAATTGAATAATAAATTGAGTTGATGTCATAATTTTGTGTAATTGTTTAGTATACCTGTTTGGTTGATTAGAACATATGAGTAACTATTTTGTGTATTATAAGACAGTTGTAACTAATTAGTATAATTTATGTTATTGTAATGTTGATATAAATAGAGAGAGATAAATGGTTAGAGAAAATAGGAGGAGAGAGAGAAAATTGGGGGAGAAAAAGATGAAAAAAAATCAAATCTTTACATATTTTAAAAAGAAAATAAATTATCAATGATAGATAGAGAGAGAAAATAGGGGAGAGATGGGGAAGGCAACGGGGAGAGAGAGAGATGGAAAGAAAAAAGGGGGGGAGAGATAGTGAGAGAGTCTAATGACATTTTTACATATTTGATTAGATATATAAATGTCAATTAAGAATGTATAATTTAATGAAGGATATTTAGTTAAAAAAATTTTGATTTTATTTAAATTTTGTACCTAAATACAATGTGTTTTATTAAAATTGAATTTAATAGAATAAACAACTTATTCATACACTTTTTCTTCAAAAAAGTCTAAAAAATTATACCTACAACCAAAAAACCCAAAAATTAAAAAAATACACAAATTGGACAATCATGTAAAGCCTCTGACAAGCAATGTCTTGATCTGATTTATTGACTAGTGAGACTATTAAATAACGGATTATGTCAATAAATTATATAGAAGTGTTGATATCTCTCTATACATAGGCCTAGGACTTCTCATTTAATTTAAACGATTTTGAAGTCCGAAATTTTCATGTTTTTATATTAGGTTTTGTTATCATATTTTTACTAGGTTTACTTACATCACTAAATGTGGGCGTTGTATTTGTACAAGAGTAACACCTATTTAAATTTAAAAGATTAATAAAATTATCCTCAATTTCTCTTGGACAGCGGAAATGTCTAATTCACATAGGCTGGATTTTATCATGTCTCTTTAATGTCTTTGTAGGTACCGTGTTTAAGGGTGACTCCAAAAAGTGAACAGAGGACTACTTGAGACTTACTGGAAAATGATAGCATCATCCAATATGATCCTAAAATTCAAGGCTTTAGTCAAAAAAAAACAAATCAATCTGTTCAATCTTCAATCCCCTTGTCCAGAGACATGAAGAGACAGTATAACAGTCTTCTTCCTTAAAAATTTGATACCCTGCTGATCTAGCTGCAGCAGCTTCCTGACCTGGTCTTTAGTCTTCGGAAGCGAGCCTTCCAAAACTGTTTTCAGAGCTTCCATTGGTTTGTACCTAACATAAATTATCCAACATTAATAGAAATTCATTGAAAAAAATCAAGAGAAAACCTATTGGAGATGATTCAAATATATATCAAGATTACATAACTAGTTTACTCAATGTAAAGATATTATACCAGCTCAAGAGATGTCACTGAAATGTAAAGATAATCCAAGAAAAATATAACCAATAACCAAAAAAGTGACAAGAAAAAAGTACATGGGATTTGAATCAAGTACCGGATATTCACTAGCAAGGTTGGGCTTGTAAAAATCATAAGCACGTGACATATGACTTCCCCTGAATTTGCTTTCAAATGCAATAGGAGCATCAGGCCCTATTAACATGGCAATAGCTGCAGCTCCTCCAGTTGGCCGAGTAGGTCCCTCAGCATAGACCTGTTAAAATAGGACATAACTGAAAATTGAAAATAGAACATAATTGACCACGAAAAGTTGTGTCGAATCTAAATCACCAAATACACTTAAGGATGCATTTGTAAAAGTAAACCAAATCCCGCAACATCCGAAATATAAATGATCCTCGAAACTACTAAGTTTCTTGCTGGTGCAACATTGCAAATGCTCAATATAAGAGTTTGATTGGACAATATAAAAAGTCAAGAATGCTGATTAGCAAGTTCTATTGGACCATCAGTGAGCACAACATCCAATCAGCTATTTCTTAAAACTGCCTCATCACACTATTTATCCCAGCTCAACTTGGATACCAATTAGAAGTGTATTTGTCTGCAACCAATGGGATTTGATTTCAAAATTCAGCTAAGATTTCACAAAAAGAGAGCTAAAACTCATTCTTCATAATTAATGATGAGCTAAAACAAATGAAGGTGATTATTATACCGCACTGTCTCTGCATACAACAAGCCCATAGCGTCCATCCCATGAACTACTCTCCACCCAGTTGACACAGTTGAACAATGCTGCAGTTCCCCCATAACATGCATTGGTTGAGTCGACATCTTCAATATCAGTATTTCCACATCCTTGGTTGTTTAACATGGCAAAAGAGTAGGACAATTTTGTGAGACACAAGATTAATAAAAAAATACAAACTGCAGCAAATTGAAGTGTGCAGGGAAAATATACAGGCCGTCCAACCATAAAAATAACAAAACTTAAATACTCTGAATCTCATAGTAACAGGGTGTCGACGAAAGGTTATTTGGAATCTAATCAAGGAACCAAATATGTGGATCAAGGTTCAGTTGAGTGACTGGAACCTAAACGTACAACTTAATAATGATTGCCCCATGCCTCGATCTGATATTTCAATATAACGAGTTCCAAGGGACTACCACATGGTCATAGCACCAACCAACAATAGAAGACGAGATAATTCCAAATGTAAAGGCACCAGTTTCAATTGGTAGATACCTCAAAAATTTGCATGAGGAATGTCTTAATGGATTTGCTCTTGTCTATAACAGTCTCACTGCCCACTTCAAGCCGACCAATTTGTTTCGGGTCAATCCCATACTTCTCAAGAAGTGAAGTAATAGCTGTCAGACTGTAGATCAAAGAGTAAGAAAATATGGTATGCACACTCCATAACCAAAAATATAAGTTAATCAAACTAGGCCTTTAAAGGACTGTGAATTGGTAGAACATATAAACAAGGAAAGTGTTTAAAGCAGCAAAAAAATCAATTTCTAGGGTTCTAAGGTTCTAACTTCTAGGATTCAAAGGTTCAAGACAAAGCTTCATGGAAGACAAGTCTTATCCAACGCCCACCCCTTCTCTTTCTCTCCTCCTCCTCCTCCTCCTCCTCCTCCTCCTCTTCAGATCCTATTGTACATGTGTCGTGATCTGGTTTAACTAGCAAAGAAGTGAGAATTAATCAAGTTGGAACTCGATTAATAACAAATTAAGCATCACATCAAAGGTATTCAATGCATTAAGCCGATCAAATTATCCAGGGAAAGAGGCTGATTAATCTGGTACAACTGTGCATTAAGCTCATCAATTCCCCAGAGATTTAGAGGTATAAAAAGGACTTGTATCCTGGTGCTTGTTGTCTTCCATCTTTGAGGATTATTCCAAATTAACTAGGAATTCTGAGACAAACAATGTGGCTGTATTTGGGCTCTGTTTCTGATATAAATTGAGCTTTAGTGACAGAAGGACAAGAAGTGTGTATTTGAGCTTTGGTTCACCTGACATCAACTATTTCTGTGTTAACATCCAACTAATAAATATCAAATGAAAACTGCTTGTGTAGGTTTGGCCAAAATTTGAAATCGAAATAAATGATACAAGGCAGAATACACAATCTCATATATGCAAGGTTTGCCTCTTTCATAGACAACTCTTTCATTAAATTAGTAGCTTGTAAAAGTATTGCTTGTAGTCCATGTTATATGGAAAATTTTGTTTGGGCTTTGAAATTATGATCAATCGAGGATACATTCTTGGCTGAAGTTGTAAACCCATGGGGTGGAACAGGATTTTTTACAATTGGATAGTGCCTATCCAAAACCAATAGGGGAAAGGTCTTTTTGACAATGCTAAGTGCTAAATATCCTAGTAGCATTTTAGAACACTTCATTATATCCAAGGATTTCCCATAACGCATAAGTATCCATTCTCCAACGTGTGTGTAATTCAGATCATTCAGGAACCTACTGGCCTTGTGTTTAGGCCAGTAAGAGATTGGGTTTGGTGAATACAATGTCACTTGAAGTCACTAAATCTTTAGTTTTTGTTATTGTCAAATCAACTGTGCTTCGCTGCCTGAGTCGACGGAAACTTCGCATCCGACGAAGCGTAGCAGAAGAAAGAGGAGATATTAGCAGAGCTAGAAGAGAGAGAAATACCAAATTCCTCTTTATTTCCATCGGTCGCTCAGGTTTAGGGAGACAATGGAATGAGGAGAAAAAGAGAGGAGCGCAAGTTGACATTCCCTAGATAGAGACAATATATGCAAATCGCGTGTGTGTGACTGGCAAATGAATCACAGTTCCATCACAGCATATAATAACTTTTCCATTAAAATAAAAAAGCTTCAAATGTTAGCACTCTGAATGTTTATTCTCCTAAAAATACAAAATCTAGTTAGTAATAAACTTTCTGCCGATAAACTAGAAATCAAACTGAATAACAACAGATTGGAACAATAAATAAACAAAGGCATCAACTGATTTCATCAAAAGAGTCATCTGTTTAGCTAATTTACCGAAAACAATTAGACAAATGGTAAATGTTGGAAATATAGCAGCAGCCTAATTTATTAGGGTTTTATTAAGTTTTTTTTTTTTTACCTTTTTGTCCTTATGATAATTCTCATTGACTATATATACGGGGCTCTACACTTAGTTTGTACCCTTTGTTTTTGACTCACATATTTCTCTAGTTGGTATCAGAGTCAAAACATTAGCTCCTACCTCTAACCCTAACCCTAACCCTAGCCTCCTATACCTTGTTACCACAGCCTAGCAACAACCAGTGCCGCCACCAGCAACAGCCGCGACCTGGCAATCCTAGCCACACCCATCGACAGAAGCCACAATAACCAGCAACCACCTATGCCACCACCAGCGACCAGTTAACTCCACCAACACCATCAACGAAACCACCCAGCAAAGAACAATAACCCAGCCTAGCCACGCAAAACCACCAAAACTCAAACCAGCAGCACACCCAAACCACAGCCACGTAACCCATTGCTCAGCCACGCAACCGGCTACTAAGCCACCTTACCCAGCCCAACCACGCAAAACTCAAACCAACAGCACACCCAAGCCACAGCCACGCAGCCCACTGCTCAACCACAGCCCAAAACAGCAACCCAGGAAGCCAGCAACCCACCAGTAAACCAAACCTCCAAACAGTCGCAATACCTAGCCTTCCACCTACAGCCCTCAGCCTTCCACCGAAACAACCTAACACCGAAAAATTAACCAAGTGCCTAGCCTACTGCTGGGTCGCTGCCCAGCCCACTGCCGGGTCGTGTTTTTTGTTGCACCTTCGTTTGCACTCTTCATCACAGTGCTGCCAGGTTACAATATCTCGGATTTTTTTTATGAGGGGTTAAATCCTCTTCTCCGTCTGTTGATATGCTCTTGATGCAGTAGATCATTTATTTATATTTATTGGATTTCTGGGCACCGTGAACTGAAAATTTGAGAGCTTTCTGAACCTTCTTTATCTGTTGCTATTGTTCGATTGAAGGTATATCGTTCTCCCTTATTTTATCCCTTTATTTTTTTTTCTGTTATGGGTGCCCACATATTATTGTTGAAAGGACTACTACTACTGAGGGACTTGAGACCCCTACTGTTGACACCTCTACCGTTGAGACATCCATGGGTATATCCACTTTTATGTTTGACCAGTATACAGTACCAACTAGCACAGTTGCATTACCAGCACTATCGGGCATGATTTCTCAGAAAGTTACGGCACAGTTGTTGAATGGTCGTAACTTCGTTGAGTGGTCTCGCTCATTCAAGCTTTTCTTAGGCCGTGTAGGGAAGCTTGGTTGGCTGACGGGATCTCACCCAAAGTCAGCTGATGCCGACCCTTGATATTCTGCGTGGTTCTCTGAGAACTGCGCCATTCTTGAATGGTTATTTAGCTCAATTGAGCCATTTGTTTGTAGGATCCACCAATTTCATAACTCTGTTTCCGAAGCTATGGAGCGCACTATTAGAGATGTATTCTCAGTCAGGATGGGGAGTTCGTGTTTATGAGCTTTCTCAGGAGCTCTCATATGCTCGGCAGGGAGATATGACCGTTCAGGATTATTATAGCTATTTGACCCAGCGCTGGCTTGAGTATGAGACTCTACGTCCTCTTGCTGCTATTCCGAAGATAGAGCCCAAGGGAGCAGAATTCTTGCATACTCGAGAGCAGGAGGATAGGATTCACAAGTTCCTTATGGGGCTTCATGATGAGTTTGAGGGACCTCGTTCTCAGATCTTGTCGATGTTGACACTTCCTTCTCTTTATGAGGTGTATAGGATGATTGAGCAGCATGAGCGTCGAGTCCGTATTGCATCACTTCTAGTTGCGGCTTTGACTCCTTTGACTGACCAGATGGCCCTTACAGTTGTTGTAGGGTCTTGTTCAGGATCCTTAGTCAAGGGTGGGTAGCGCTCGGATCAGCAGCGTCAGGGTGCCTCAGATCAGCACAGACAAGGGGATTCTCGTCAGGGTGCCTCAGATCAGCGCAGACAGGGGGATTCTCGTCACTGTGATTATTGTGGCCGATCAGGACGTCTCAGGGCTACTTGCTGGAAGCTCCATCCAGAGCTTAAGCTGTCTCCTCGCAGCCGTACTGTTGTTATTGCTGAGGTATCACCACTCACTACATCTACTCTTGCTGTTGTTGCTCCACCTTGACAGAGTGATATGGATGCTATCACTTTTCGATTAGATATACTTATGTCTGCTCTGACTTCTCAGAGTCTGACTACTACTGCTGTCACCACTACAGGTATACCTCGTGCCTTTTCACGCTTGTGTCAGTTCATCTCCCCTTTGGATGTTGGACGCGGGTGCGAATGGTCACATGACAGGTGAGACCCATCACTTCACCACTTTTGACGAGCAGTTACATACACAGGTTCAATTAGCAGATGAGACACATGCCCCTATTGTTAGTAGGGGTACAATCCGCTTCCCAGATAGCCTTACATTACGTTCAATTTTTTATGCGCCAAAGTTGGCCATGAATCTATTATCTGTACATCAGTTAGCCAAAGATTTTCACTGTGCGGTTGTATTCTTATCTGATTCGTGTTATTTGCAAGACCTGAGTACTAGGAGGATTATTATCAAGGGACATGAGAAAGATGGACTATATTATCTTGGCAATCTACCTCCAGTTTCACCAATTCCTCCACCTACATCCCCTGCACCTGCTTTGTCTTTTTCTGTTCCTAGCTTGCATGCTAGTATTTTACCTAGTAGTGTCGTTATGATTTTTCGTCACAAACTGTTCAGTTGTGGCATGACCGTTTTGGACATACAAATTTTAAATATTTATGTATGTTGTTTCCTGCTTTGAGCAATGCTTGTGTTGGTGGTAAACTTGACTGTGTTATATGTTCCCTATTGAAACATGTTAGGGCCAGTTATATTCCTCGCATGCACCAGTCACCTAAGCCAATTGACCTAATACATTCTGATATTTGGGGACCCTCTCCCGTTACTGCTTTGTCAGATGCCCGATATTATGTGACATTTATAGATTACCATACCCGTTGTACTTGGGTCTATCTTTTGCATATAAAGTCTGATGTACTTCCTATAACTACTTAGTTTTTACAAATGATTAAGACACAATTCGATGTCATTGTTCGTGCTCTTCGTTCGAATAATGCCAAAGAATATGTGTCTAATGCCTTAGTGTCTCACCTTTCTTCTCAGGGTATTCTTTAGCAACTCACTTGTCCATATACTCCTGAGCAAAATGGTGTTGCTGAAAGGAAAAATAGGAGTTTGATAGGGATGGTACGTTGTATGCTTAGAGGCATGAGGGTACCAAAATTTTATTGGTATTTTGCTGTTTTGACTTCTACCTTTTTGTGCAATCGTACACCGAGTCGTGTTCTTCAGTATAAGACTCCCTTACAGGTCTTATTTCCTGAGCGGATACTTTTTTCGGTCCCCCCTCGTGTTTTTGGATGCACATGTTTTGTTCAGGATCGGTCTCCTACTCGTCATAAACTTGATGATAAAGCGATTCGTTGTATCTTTGTAGGCTATTGTCATCAATCTAAGGGGTATCGATGTTATGATTCTATCAGGCGCCGTATGTATCACAGTCTAGATGTTACATTTCTTGAGCATATTCCTTATTTTTCTCCCAGTCCTGTGTCTATCCCACCAGTTGATGATACTCCCTTTGATTTTCCATTACCACAGGAGTCAGAGTCATTGATCATTATCCCTACAGGGTTATCTGTTTCTCCTCCTTTAGAGCCACTCACCTCTGTCAGTACAGAGTTACCAGTCTCTCTTCCTTTGTAGGTGTGTGTTCGTCGCCCTCACTCTCATCACCCTGCTGATGTCCCCTCTACCTCAGGCGATGCATGTAATACTTCTCAGTTTGTTGAGCATATTGATGCACCTGTTGTTAGTACTGATAAGATTGCAGGTGCTGAGCCAGTTTATTTCCCTAATGAGACATTATCAGTGGAGGAGTATGATTTAGGGCG